TGCCATTTATCCTTCCAATTGTAATTGGAGAATCAGTCCATAGCATGAAGCTTGCCTGTACATGATGGGAAACTGATACTAAAATATTCCTTGCATTTTTTTAGGATGCCCAAGTTAAAAAAAAAAGTATAAGACCTGGCAGAGTAGTGGCGGAAAGATGAAACTGATATAATATGAAGCCTACAATCTCATATGTAAGTGCACATATACAGAATTTTACAATCTTGGAGTTAGAAGGGAGTTTAAACTCATCTTAGTTCCACTTCCTGTTGCCAAATAAAAATACCACCCAGATCTACTTGAACTCTTTCAGTAACAGCCACATCAGACTTACAAGACAGCACATTTCATTATGGTTTATTTTTTCTTCTCTTCGGGAACTAATTAAAACTTCAAATCATCAGATAATTGGAAACATGTTGTCATGGAATCCCAAGAGGATTCTTCAAGATAAATAATCTAGTCATATTCCATGATGATCCAGATGGGAAAACTGAGGCCTAGAGAAGGGCTAAAAATTTCCCAAGGTAACATAGTTGGTTAGTGGCAGAGCCAGGACAAGAATCCAAATCTACAAAACCAGGGCCCAGAAGCTTGTCTATTTCCCATAATTAAAGAGAAGGGTAGGCCCAAGTTCAGGACTGATTGGTTTTTACTCAGTGAATATATTACCAAGGCTCTAGCTTCTCTCTCTTTTTTTCTGTACTTCCAAAGCCTAATCTTGGCTTATTTTAACCTCAACAGGAACAATTCCAAAGGGAGGGTTAGGTCAGGAGAGGTGGCCCATGGAAAGAAATGGTGCTGCCCACTCCCCTTGGCTTATCCACATGGTGACTAACAACCTACGAAAAATGAAAACGTTTTACTCTTTGATTCCACCAATTCATTTTTTTGGAGAATATTATGAAGTATTTTTGGTGCATTTGAGAGATATCATAATTGTAGTCACCCAGGGATAGGAAGAATGGCTATCTGACAGTCAAAAATACTTGGCAAGAACCTTTTATTGTAGTCATTCTATTAGGACGTGGTGACAAGAGGAAAAATCCGAGCTGGATAAAACATCTTCTTTACCTTTAGGAAATGATAGTCTTGTCAGAAAACAATTACAGCTAATTCTAATCCAAGATAAACTTTAGCCATCCTAATATCTCACATGAGCACAGAATAATATTTCTTCCATTTTAAAGACTGATGGTAAAACTGATTCACAACCCTCATATTAAGAACCTGAAGGGAGAATTGATGAATGGGGCTAGCTTCCAGAAAAAGCAGAGAAAAATTGCGTCTCTTTTAATACCAAGCTTCAGTTCTGAGGAATGGTTACAAAAGACCTTTCCCTCTCTGCAAGAGGAATTCAGCTGGAGCATCTCAAGAAGACATCTAAAGTAGGGTTTTTTTTTGTTTTGTTTTGTTTTGTTTTGTTTTTCGCCTGGCTTGTGTTCTCAGGGAGAGAGGAAGTGCTTGACTCTTCTCTGGGAACAGGGACTTTTGTCTCCCATAAAGAGCTTCTCTAAATCAGTTCCTTCAAAGAAGGAAAAATTCATTTAGGTAATTAGAGGATCCCTTCTGCACTGCCAAAGTTAGCCTAATTTCCCAGCCTGCACCTTAAATTCAATGAGCCATAAGAAATAAAATACATACATACATACATAAATAAATAAAAACACAGGCCTGGGAGTAAGAAAAATATGGCTTCCAGTTTTGGCTCAGACCCTGACTAAACTAAACAATTTCTAGCAAGTTCCATTTTCTCTGGGCCTGTTTGGCCACTGGTAAAATTAAGACAAAAACAGCTGGGGTGAGGTGTCATTTGGATGATGGATTTAAGTCAACTGGCATATAGTAGTAACTTAAGAAATAGCATATTACAAAAAAATAGTATATTACAAAGCAACTTGTCATATTCACCTACCCTGTTCCTTTTGCAATGTTTCCCATCATTTCAAAATCATGACCATTGCCCCAGTTTATAAGACTCAAAACATCAGAGTCTTATTTGACTTGACACCATGCCATATTGAGAAATGGTGGAAGAGCTGGGCTGTTTGACCTTGGAATAGAGGATGCAGAAAGATCTGGTTTCTGGTCATGAATGGCCCCAGGGTGAATGAGGATTCTGGGTAAAAGCCACAAGAAGACTATGTTCCACTTAACAAAAGGAATACTTTTTGAAGAGTCAAGGCTTTCCATGAAGGGAATGCATTACTTCATAGATCAGTAAGTACACTCCCTCTGGAAATATACAAAGCAGAGACTATCATGGATGTTTTAAAAAGGGTGCAAAAACATGATTTTTGAAAGCCTAGGTATAAGATATTGTTCTAGGTACTTTGCAGGGATTATCTCTTTTAATTCTCCCATCAAAACTATAACATGGGCCCTAGCCGGTTTGACTCAGTGGCTAGAGCATCGACCTGTGAACTGAAAGGTCCCAGGTTCGATTCTGGTCAAGGGCACATGCCCGGGTTGTGGGGTCGATCCCCAGTGGGGAGCGTGCAGGAGGCAGCCAATCAATGATTCTCTCTCATCATTGATGTTTCTATCTCTCTCTCCCTCTCCCTTCCTCTCTGAAAACAATAAAAATATATTTTTTTAAAAAACTGTAACATGGGTATTATTAACCATGTCTTTCAGCATAGAAAACTGAGGATCAGAGAAGTTTAGCACATCTCACTGGGCTTACTACTGGTGTTATAAGTGTGTGGAAAGAACAGTTCTTTGTTGCATCAAACTGGTTGGCACTAAATGCAGTAGTACCTCAGTATTTGTAAAACAAAAACAAAAACAAAAAACACACAAAAAACCACACTCCTTACACATATTTCTAAATGCCCTATGGTCATGAATGACAGATAAATAATATGTTTAGGATCACAAACAGCAGGTAAGCAGAAGACCCAGGATTTATACAGAGCTGTGTCTAGTTCAGAAAGCATATATCCTTTCTATTATGCTATTCACAGAAACAGATGAAAGTGGGGTTGCAATGCATAATGTTTTAAAGTCTAAACTAATCCCAAGAGATTCTGATTCTCTCATTCATTCTTTTTCAATTTCATATAATTTCATAACTTCTAAGTTTGGTAGATTCAAGTTTTATAATGTCTTGTTAAATTCATTCTCTTCTTTCTATTCCCACTGCCACTACTTCAGTTGCAGAGACTTATTCCCTTGCTGCATCTGGTTTATCCACTTCTCAATCCAGTTAACTCACGTTATTTTTCCTGAAACACAGATTTGACTTTTTTCTTTAGCTCAGATACTTACAATGCCTTTCCAATGTCTGTCGAATCAAACAGGAAGTATAGCACCCAAAATCTTCCACAGTTTGCCCAGTTGGACCATGGCAACTTGTACTTCCACTTTTCCCCTAACTGTACTTTAAAATCCAGTCAGGCAGTGTTCTTTTCACATGCTCCGAGCTTCCCTGCCTCCAAACAGTTGTTCTAGCTGTTTTATCTGCTTAGACTGCTTTTTGTCCTATCTCCACCTGTTGAAATCCTATCTGTGTTTCATGCTTCATCTTAAATAATAATAATAGTTAACACTTATTGAGTGCTTATTTTGGTTCAGCCACTGTGCTAAGTGTGTACAAGTATTTTACATGGATTTCTCACTGGGCTTACTAATTTAATCCTCAAAAAATGTGATGAAGTAAGCTTTATTATTATATCTATTTTAGCCTACAGTAAATCAGAGTTCAGAGAGGGGGAAGTAATTCTACTCATCCAATGTCACACAAGTTTATAAATGGTGGCAGTGGGATTTGAGTTCAAGTAGCCAGGCTCTGGAGTCCTGAGGTGTTACAATTAAAAAAAAAACACAAAAACAAACAAACAAAAACAAAAGCCAAAAACCAGAAAACCCCACACAATTAAAAAGCCATTTCTGATTTCCCCTGCCTCAACTTGATATGACCTTTACTTGACAACCTCAAAACATTTTGACTGAACCTTTAAAGCCTATTTTGTGTTATATTTATTTGTTCTTATACCCATGTTGAAACTGTCAGATCTCAGTTAGCACAACCTATGTCTTAAACATTTCTCTGTCTCACATAATGGTGATACAGAGTGGGTACTCAATGGATCTGTTATGTTGAATTAAAGTTATGTTGGGGTGAATGAGGGATCAGGAGAACTATGTAGGAAAAGATGGCCCCCACTCTCCTGCTTTAGCCACCCTGCACGACATCCCAACACCTGTTCAATCCAGACTTTGATATCTTTACTTTCCCAGCCTGGTTTCTGGCAGGTCTCTTCTTGTCCCTTAGTTCTCACAGCTGCCTCTGCCTTGGCCAGTGTTTGGGGTAAGACAGGATCAAAATATCACTGCCCTGGGCTTAGATTCCAGGACTGAGGGATCAAGTGAAACCTAGCTGGCTGCATGAAAGGGCAGACTGAAAGCCACCAAATAGAGTCTGTGTGTTCTTTACACAAGCCCTGACTTGCCCAAGGACCACATGGGTGGGCTGGCAGCTCAACTTCCCTCTGGATGCTTCACATATCTTATCCAACCCCTCCCTCCCCTAAACTTTCAACCTCCCTCTCTTCCTTATCTCCCAACTTCAGATGCTCAGGGTGGTTGGGCACAGCCAGGCATGTTCCCAGAGGCCATAGGAATCCAGTAAAAGCCCACACAGGAAAGAACTTACTTCCAAGGCCATCAGAGCACTAGCCCAGGTCCCTGTCACCTGAAACAGCACTCTCTGGATACAGATGGATGGACTGACAGATGGCCACAGGATGCCTTCCCAGCCATTCTGATTTTGTAGTGCTTAAACAAGGTAAACCTAATTTGATCCTGAATTTCCACCCCTATTTCCCACATATCTGAGCTGCCTTGCCATGCATTTACACCCCATATTTACCCTGTAAATGAATTGATAGATGGATTTTTCTCTAGCAACAGAATTCCTGAACAATTGTACCTCAGTGCAGGCCAGACATTCCACCAAACCCCAACAACTCAGCTCCCAGTCTCCATACCATACGCACAGTAGATGAAATCCATTGCAATCAAAGCTCCTCTTTGACTTAGTTCACATCCACGTGTGAGAACAACAGCCCAAATCCATCCTCTTTCCTTTTCATATTACGCCCACTTCTCTACTCTGTGAGGCCCAGGAGGCAGTTATTGGACTACTAGAGTGTGTAGGCATGGCTACACAAAGAAGTGCCAGCCCTGACAGGGAAATTGTGGGGAGGGCAAAAAGGGGGGGGGCAGTAAATAGAGACCAAACCACTCCTATTGCAGAAACTGAAAAGCTCCAGGACTGAAGCAGGGGTGAGAAGGAAGATGGGCATAGAGTCAGGTCTATAGAGCCTAGTGGAAACAGAGAGAAGGTCAAGTGGTTGGAGGCACCTTGCAGATTCCATTTCTTGTGGCTATTTTATAGTGGTATGCAGCTCAACTCCTTAAAGTTCTGTATATGAGTGTTAGCAGGCCTGGAGTTTGACATGGAACATCCGCGTTGGAAAAGTAAGTTCTCAGACTCCTGGAAAAAAACACTTCCCAGCTCTGGCCCTGAATTTTAAAAGCAAACAAAACAAAAACCACCCACTCTTCCTTTTAGAAGGGTAGGTAGGATTTGGACAGGAGGAGGAGAGGATACATAAAGCAGGGGGAAAACCATTAAAATAAAGGAGAATTGTATTGGAATCACTTTCTCTGGGCTCCAGAGTACCTATGCAAAGAACAAATAGGACTAGACAGCCTCTAAGGGCTCTTCTAGCAATGACACTATGTGAGTATATGAGTCTATGATCTCAGAGGCAGCAATGAAGAAGTTCTGGAATATTACTAGGCCCTAATCTTGAAGAAATGACAGAGGAGTTGGGGATATAAGACAGACTAGATAGTTAAAGAATAGCATACAGTATAGAATGAAGGCCAAACTGTGAGGTACAGGGTATTCGGAGAGAGAGAGAGAGAGAGAGAGAGAGAGAGAGAAAGAGAGAGGCAAATGCTGTTGGATAGTTGGATATATGGGGGGCATAAAAACATGAAGAAGCGAATAGCATTATAGAGAGAAAGGAAAGTTCCAGCCAAGGCATGAGAGAGGAAGACCAAGCAATGTGCCATGATCAGACTTCCTACCTGGCATGGGCAAAAGCTGTATGCTAGGAATTTAAGGTGGAGTCTCAGTACAAGGGCAGCAAAGTCTTTGGTAGACAAACAGGCTGAATAGGCCCTGAGGTGACTTTGACTAGGTCCTAAGTGAATTAGACATATGGACCATGGTTAGATCTGGGGAAAGATTGTGGCCTCTTACACTGCTACTGTGAATTGAGTCTTAGAAGGAGGGAAACTGCCTAAGCTGGAATCCTGGTTCTGCCCCTGCTAGCTGTGTGACCTTGGGCAAGTTACTTAACTGCTCTGTGATTCAGTAATCTCATGTGTAAAATGAGAACAATAATGATCCCTTACTCATAAGGCTGTTTTGAGGACTACATGAGTTAGTATATAAAATAGTGTTACTATGTATAAAGAGCTTAAAACAGTGTCTGATGCTATCATATAAGTGTTTATTGAATTTAAATAAATTCTAAGCACACAGGAGTCAGAGAGCCTAATTTCAAATCCTGGTTGTGCCACTTCCCTGAGCCCCTTGTGGAACCTTAGGGAATTTTTTTAACTTTTTACTTCGACTTCCTCATGTCTAAAATGGAGATTAAAGTAGTACCTATTACATAGAGTTGCTCTGAGGATTGAATGAATTAATGCATGTAACATATGGCATATGACAAGTGTTATATAAGTATCTGCTATCATTATTTATTGGGTCCATAGTCATCACATGATGAGTAAAATAAATGTTCATGGAGGCAGTTGGAAGGAATATAGACTCTAGAATCCAGAGACCTCTATTCCAACTCTGGCTGTAACATCTACTATGTATTGGCTCTTCAGCAGAAGATTTCTCTTCTCTGAGACTCAGTTGTCCCATCTGCAGATAGAAGCTAATAATATTTTTCATGATGTTGTGATTGCGGAATGAGACAATGTTAATAAAGCAAGTAGAATACAGTACATGCTCAAAGGATACTCTAGGTCCTATCTCTGATGATCAGCCCTTTATTTGTTTATAAACAAAAGGAATTACTTACAGATGATGAAAAAGGATAATGGAAGCAAGAGAGATTGTGCAATTAAAATTGTGAAGTTACGGTATGTGGTGTCAAGGGAGAATTTGAGTCTTTGTGGCAGAGTCACTTTCTTATATAAGCCTCACTAATCTAGTCCTCCCACTTTTCACTGTACCCTGTTTATTTCCTTACTAGCATTCAATTACTATCTGTAATCATTTAATTAATTTTCTTACTTGTTTAATGTCTATACTTTCCCTTCTACTAATTGGCAAACATAATGAGCTAATAATTAATAGATAACATTTATAAAGCACTTGCTATCTGCCAGGCACTTTTCTCAATATTTCCATATAGTAACTTATTTAATCCTTGTAACTACCCTAATATTCACAATTTAGGGATGAGAAAATGGAGGCACAGACTAAATTGCACAATGTCAAACAGGTAGCAAGTGGCAGGGCTGAGAATGAGTCTCTGGTATACAGCCAAAGGAATAAACTAATGAGTATACCAGGGTGCAAAGAACAAAATGGCAAATATCAGGAAGACTTCGAATATGTTGAACTTGAGTTGCCAAGAAAGCCCCTATGCTGAAATGTCTTGCAGGGAAAGAAATGTAAGCTGGGGCAAGAAGAATCCTTTAATCTAGGGACACTCTCCCACCTGGAACAACCACACTGATTTTTATTTTTTAAACCCAGTTCATTTCCAACTGAGCTGGGAACATCCTTCAAGGCCAAGATTAAGGGCCTTTCAACAAACCCAGCCTCAAGGGCTCATCCAACCTTTGTGCTCTCAAATACACTGTTTTACCTCTTTTGATCCTGCTCAGGAAACAGAGTGCAAGAACAGAGAACCATGCCATGACACTGGCAACACTTCTGTGACTAAACTAAATTGGAAGGGCATTCCTAGTGCATTGGCTAGGGACAGAACCATCAGAATTCTTATTTGAAGAGAAAGTAGGAAGGAACAATATTTACTGAGCATTTATAAATCAGTCAAATGTTTCCCTTCATAGTTTACAACAGTCATATAAGATAGGACTTACTATCTGCACCTTACACATGAAAGAGCTCCTTGTACTCCATGATGTTTCCTGGAGAATAGGAGGAATCCTGAGGTAATGATACTAGGGAAGCTTCAGGGTCCATAGGTCCCTCCTTAGCTAGAGATACTGAGATACTAATACTTCTGAGTATGGCCTGAATGTTTCTCTTCTAGAAAAAAACATTTACCCCCAATATCTCCTACCTTGACCATTTTCCCTTGGCCAAATATACATTTGACAATGAAAAAGATAAATGAACTGGATTCCACAAAACACAGAAGGTACAGTGTGTTGTTGTTGTTTTTAACACACTGTAGCCCGTTTCCTTGCTACACTCAGTGGGGAGAACACTTAAATTTAGGTCTTCAAACACATGCTTCAAGCAGACATTCCTTATCTTCTGATCTCACTTCCTCTCTAATCTTTCTCCTCCTACTGCTCTTAGAGTCCTCTTGTTCAATATTCTTTCTGGTGCCCCACCCACTCCCTAGCGCCTGCCCTTGAATTGTTCTGAAAATTCTAGGTCCTCAGGCTTTGACTGGTTTATAATGAAAACAATTTTCTGCCCTGTGACTACCCTAAAGGAAAAGGAGTAGGTTTTGGTCCTGTGTGTGAGTGATGGGTATTATGATTCCAATTCATTCACACCACCAGTTAAAGCCACAGATAATGTCATTAACAGTTTCCTAAGAACAGTGGTTCTCAACCTTCTGGCCCTTTAAATACAGTTCCTCATGTTGTGACCCAACCATAAAATTATTTTCGTTGCTACTTCATAACCGTAATGTTGCTACTGTTATGAATCGTAATGTAAATATCTGATATGCAGGATGGTCTTAGGCGACCCCTGTGAAAGGGTCGTTTGACCGCCAAAGGGGTCGCGACCCACAGGTTGAGAACCGCTGCCTAAGAAGCACTTTACCAATCAGAGCATTAATTTTTCCCCAGGACAGAATCTAGTCCCACATGAGGAAAACATGTATTCTTTGTTAACATGGGTTTATCCCTTCAGTTTTTGCTAAATAGTAATCCTGTAACTTTATTTCCTCTGAGTCTAGCTTATAAGAATCATAAAGAGCTCTATTTCAGACACATTCAATGTGCATCACTGGCTTCAAATAGTAGTTTTTTGGGTCCCCAAATATTTCCGCTGATAGGAGAGAAGATAGTGGAGCCTAATCTAAACTTGAGATCTATCATATATCTCTGGTAGATCTAAGGATACCTATTATTATTGTGAATAGATATAAAAATAAACAAATGACAAATATATAACATAATTTCAAGTGTTGATAAGCACCAGGAATAAAAAGAAAATAGAAAAAGGGAATACATTATGGGGAGGGGCTATTTCACATAAGATTGTTAGGGAAAGCCTCTCTGAGCCAGTGCCATCTGAGCAGAGACTTGAATGATGTGGGAAATGAAACAACATAAAGGTCTGGGGAAAGAATATTCCAGGATAAGTGAAAAGTGAGAGTATAGGAATAAAGATGTTAAAAAAATAATTGAGATTTGCTGGTGACAGATCATTTAGGGCAGGGGTCCTCAAACTTTTTAAACAGGGGGCCAGTTCACTGTCCCTCAGACTGTTGGAGGGCCGGACTATAGTTTTAAAAAAAAAAAAACTATGAACAAATCCCTATGCACACTGCACATATCTTATTTTGAAGTAAAAAAAAATGGGAACAAATACAATATTTGTATGGCCGTAGTTTGAGGACCCCTAATTTAGGGCCTTGTATAGGTCATAGTAAGGAGTTTGGATTTTATTGTGTGATGAGAAGCCACTGGGGGGTATTTGTGTGAGAAGAGACATGATGTGAATTCCAGGTTAAAAGTATACTTTCGGTTTCTCTGTGAAAAACAGACTTTAGGAGGCAATAGTAGATATGAGGACAAAAGATGGGTGGCTATATTATTAGCGCAGGCAACAGA